CGGGGGGAGATTCCTGTAAGCAGACCAATCCAGTTTCACGCTTACAGCAGGACAGTGGTTGTACAGACATACCTGTGACAAGAGTGGAGACATTTGCGTAAGAGAATTACAAGACACTAAACCAAACCTGAATATATCTTTGGGTCTTTACCACTCGTGGAATATGCCATTTCTGAGCAACTAGGAACTAAAATTTCTGGAAGAATTTAAGTTTAGGTAAACTTGATAATGTAATTCATAGAGAGATAAAATCTGATTCTTAATCATTGTCATCAATGACTGCACACCTAACAGACATTACTTGTTTCATCATCACAGTGTGTTTCACAGTGCATTTTACAGTGGCTTATGTAAAATAAAAGCTTGCAATTTGGCCTACTGTATGCAAATAACTTTTGACCTCTGTGCATCTGTCAAGACATAGTGGTGGTGTTTGCTGGACAGAGTTTATTCCCTGTCCTCATACTATGTTTGGCAAGCATAGTTCCAGTGCAGCAGAATGACTATTCTTTTTTCTGTCCAACAGAAATAGTTCCCAGAGATCTGAGGATGAAAGACAAGTTTTTAAAGCATTTAACAGGTATGTTTTAATGTTGCATTGGTATCCATCATTTCACATACACACCATAAGCTGCACTCTTCTTCCTGTGAGCTGTGCTGATACATAACTTATTCTTTCTTTATATTTCAGGTCCACTCTACTTTAGCCCAAAATGTAGCAAACACTTTCATCGACTTTATCACAATACAAGGGACTGCACCATCCCAGCATGTAAGTTCCAAAACCAGAGTCTTTCATAAAACAACAGAAAACTCTAAAATTGAATAGCTCTATGAGGTACCAGTAGTGATACAATGTTAGAATGCATTCCTTGCAATGAAGAATTTGGACTGCTCTAAAATGTACTAAGTACCCTTTACAGCGTTGCTGGAACAGCATCAGCAATACAGTGAGGAAAATGCAACTTTTTCATGGCAAATACACCGAGTACAAGAGCTGCAAACACTGCTTCCTTAGGCACTGAGGTCTATGCCTCTTTGGTTCCAAAGCAAAGGTGTTTGCTTTTCATAGCAACACGTGACTCCTCTCGCAAACACCTCATATTTGATCTTAGGGCTGCAAATTCAAGATAGGATCAGACGTACAGGTGGGGCTATTTCCTTTTCATTGATTATTTATGTAGAACATATCTTACAGACTTATTTGACTGTTCAGCTACCAGTCTACCAGTGGTGTTGACAGGGATCTTTGCAACCATGGTCTTCAGTGAATTACAACAGTGCAACTTCCTAAGGCTTCGTGAAAAAAAAAATTAAAAAGTGCTGATAACACAAATAAGTAAATGCAGCTTATGATATCTCATCAGTGTTGGCAACATGGAGAATGAAAAAGAATCAAATCAAACACTGACATTTTTTACTCAGTAGACGTGACTCCAGATTCATACCGAGGTGGACCTGTTGAGTAAGCAGATGCTATTTTAGTACAGCCTTTTCAGAATGGAAGCACACTTTATTTTACTTGTCTGAGGTCAACCAGTTGGGTCAGTAGCAGAGCTGGGAATAGAAACAAGAGTTATAGATTCCAAGTTTCAAGTATTAATAAATATTTCAGCCCAATATATTTTAAAGGCATATTTGGTAAGAACTGCAGATTTTTCCCTATTTGTAAGACTTCAGATTAGGAATACCTTGGAAAGATAAGGATTTATAGATAATGGCTAGCCAGATCATGTTCTGTTTACATAGATGTCAATGGAGGTTGTTCATAAAGAATCTGTTTTGAACACGCAAATGGTCATATTGCCATTTTCATAAGGATTACAGCACAAAAATTATTCGCAACTCGGCACTAGTGAGTATTCCAAGCTGTGAAGCTAAAAGCTAGCTGGTCTTAAAGTCTTTGCCTCCTGATGGGTGACATACCCCCCAACATAATGTCTGGATAATGGAGGATAGTTTGTATGAATGGCAATTAGAGCATACCTGTGCTGTGAGTTAGGGATTGTTAACATTGTATCTCGAGGAAACATTAGATGTAGTTACTCATTAATGAAAGAATGCCTAACGAAAAGTAACATCCCTCACTGGACTGCACTGACTAGCGCCTCCTTAAAGTAACTTTCTTCTAGGAACATGACGTAAACATCCTGCTTTAATTCTCTATGCATAGTGTGATGTTACTTTTTGATAATATCCTGATTTCAGGTAATACTTACTGTTCACACTCTGTAGAAATTCAGAGGCCAAACAAAGAAATTAAAAGCATCGATGATGCTGCAGCATGGGGGTAGCCAGTACAAAAGCATTTTATTGGCATGCCTTCTAGTACTTGGTACAGCATAGTAGCATTGTCACCTAAAAAGTAATTTACTCTGCTGTCTGTCCATAACCAAAAATTTGCTTTCAGTTTGCAATATTAAAGAAAAAAAAATCTCTTAATATTTTAGTTTTGCACTGGTTCTGCCCCTTACTATGAATGCATCAAAAAACAGAAGGTACCTAAAATAAGAACTACTAACAATACAACTACAGTGGGAAAAAAACATTTTACTAGTTTTAAGATGAAACTCGACATAGTTGTGAATGAATTTGTATGGTGTGGTATGGTCACCTACCAGGGCTGGACTTAACATTCCTATGACTAGGAGATGTTATTTGTCTAAAATGTAACAGTTTTCCAGGAATAAAATTTATTGGAAAGGTGCATTACTTAATATTAAGTTGAGCCCACTGAGGGCTGGATTTCAAAGATGGATGAGCACTACTTATTCTTCCTCTAGTATGGAAATACTACAGTCACATGTTTAGATCCCACATTTAAGCACAGACACAGATGTACACATTTTCATACATACACACACTTGGAGAGGCTCCAAGCACAATCATGCTCTTTGTTTATAGATAGTACGTATGCAGAAGTCTGCGGCGTAGTTACACGTGCCACTGGACATGGCTTTCCGTTATGCAATTTTTACACACTCCATTTCTAAGTCTAAGGAGCTGATTTCTCTACTGTTGCAAACTAAGGTGTTCATTGAACTTTATTACGACAATAATTTGCACACCATTATCAATTTTGATTTTTAAAGGCAAAATGGGTTACTGCAGTAATCTATTTATGCTCTTTTTTTCTGACAGACTATAAAAGATGTGCCAGGCTTCTTACTCGGTTGGCAGTAAGCCCAATGTGCATGGAAGGATAAAGGTAAGCTTTTTCGTAGCAGTAATGACATTCTACTGCATAGCAAAGCCATGGATTTTGTGTTTCATACATGAAAATTCATGGGAGTATAATAACAATTGTCCTTTGTCTGAGGTATTCCCCTTTCAGAGTACTTGAAGGAACTGGCTTAATCTGGCAAATATTGTCAATATATAGAGGTACCCCCTACTAGAAGTAAAAAAGTCCATGTGCATCAGCTGTGAATTATTCATAGCCGCATACAGTTAGCAGAGAGTGAATTTGTAGTTACAGAACAAAACACAACAGCTGTAGCTTATTTTTCAAGAGTTGACTCAGTACACTATTGCCTGTATTGGCAGCGGCAGCCTTTTTATGTGTGCAGCTGTAAATCTATGGTATACATTTTAAGTATGAGTTAATATATACATAGCTATACACATGTAAGCTTTATAAATGCAGATAGGTTGCAGGTGCTTTTGTAGCAATTCAATTAAAATGTATTATTAGTAGCACTGATAAACTAAGCTACTGAGATTTCTTGGGATTTTCAGTGTGTCACCTCTCATGTCTATGGGTTTATTCCCTTTCTTTTTGCCTCAATGTACCTCTGATCCCTACAGATACTTTGGGAATTTCACCATGCACTGAAGTAAAAACAAAATCCAACCAACCAACCAAAAAATTACTTCTAAACTATCTGTATTTCTAAAAAATAAGAATACAAAGGATACATAAGAATACGAAAGGACTAATTTTCATTCTGTCCTCAACCTTTACCTGACACAAAAATGTGACCTCCGACAAAGGGATGTGCAAAAACCCATATGGATTTGTCAGTAACAAATGCTGTCAAACCAAGATATTTTAGCTCTCTGACAAAATACACATCTTGTGGAGAGAGCCAGTGAGAAAAAGGAATAAATGTTAAGCATTGTAGTTTAGTTTTTTAAAGCATTGACACTGTTTTGCATGGCATTGTCACAAGCAGGCTAGGGAAATGTGATCAAGATAAATGTAAAAATGGCTGGAAAAAAATACAAATAAGTTATTAGTGCCTTACAGTCAAACTGGAAAAATTTATTGAGCAGAGTCACACAGCTTCATTAGGAGTATGGTATTGTTCAATATTTTCATTAATAACTTGGGTGATAGAAGAGAGTATATTTGTGGATGACAGGAGGGTAGGAGAAGCAGCCATGATAAAGTACAATCTTGAAACAGAAAATAATCTTGGAAAATTAGCTGAATAGCCTAAAACATGATAAAATTTAAAGGAAAGAGCAGAATTATGAAGTAATGCAGGGCTAATCAACAGCAGAATACATGGCAAGTAGTAAATAGCTTGGCAGATATTTCTGTAAAAAGCCTAGGCGTTGTATTGGATCACAAACTAATCATGTCAACCATGTCACACTTGAAAAAAGACACAACATACTGGAATTTATAAATAGAAACATTGTTTAGAAAACACCCAAAATAATCACTGTTGCTGGAATACTGTATTTAAGGACACCATGAAGACATACAGGTGCTTCTAGTAAGAGACAAAGAAGAGCAACATGGATGACCAAAGACCTAGAAAACTCAGTTTACAAAAACAATTGAAAGGGATTGGGATTATTTAATCTAAAGGAAAGACAAGTGCAGGAAAACATGATGGAGCTATTCAGTTTCATTAAAAGTGGCTACAAGCCATTCTCTCTATCCAGTGTGGATAAAAAAAGACATCATTTGTTTAACTTTGCAACACGAGAGGATTCCAGCTAGACTTTTAGAAAATACTTTTCTAACAGCTAGGGCAAATGTAATGTGATGTAATTCAGCATCCTGACTTTATGCTAAACTCCTCAATATTTAAGTTATTTTCTTCCTGACTTCCTAAAATAAACCTAAACTAGTCTAGCTTCAATGAAGAATGTTTCTAATGCCCAGTAACTGTTACATTACTTGTCTTAATTTGAAACATGCAGCCATAGAGAGGACTCTCTTATCCATACATTGTGTGTTCAGGGATGGAATAATGGAAACAATTAATAGTATAATTAATACAACAGTATTAGGACAAATAAAAGTTAGCAAATAGCTAAATCCTTTGGTCTAACTAGAAGAAATGCCAGGGATTCAGCCTTCCAATTGTAAAATCCAGAAAGCAAGGAACAAATTAGCTGTTACATAACGATACCTGTGAAAGATAGGTGAGTGATGTTATTACCAGTATTAACAAGCAGATACATTAGTGAATTCTTTCCTCCCTTTCCTTAGAAAGTTTTGTCTGTATCTTACATCCTATCATGTAAACACAAACTCGTAATATGAAGGAACAGTAGCTAAAGAAGTTCATATCTCAAGCTGTGAGTCTATTTAAAAATTAGAGTCCATCTCGTTTTGCCAAACTTCTTTCCTCAACTAGGAGGCACATTTCAGTGGGAGTAACAAGCCTCCACTTCTGTTATTCTCCACAGAGACACAAATCATTACTTGTATCAACACTCTTAAGCAACCTCAATTAGTAGAAAGGAAGACTATTCTCTACCATATATGCCTTGAGATCCACAGGTGTCTCCATAAAATTAAGCATCCTTCTTCCTCAGAGCTTTTCCACTGCATCAGTTCCATTTACGTGGCCAAGACATCACCTCTCACAGAAAAGGACAATGGAGGTTTTATTTATTTTCATCATTTCATGGACTTGGCTGTACACAAATGGGTTCTTTTTGTATTTTTCCACTTACCAAGCCGTCCTTCTTCTGCACAAAGTGTATAATTATCATTAGTCCAAGGTATTTTCAAGAAGTTTCAAATTTTTGAACACAGTACCACTAATACATAGCAAGACAAGATTTCAAAGCCATTCCTTATTTCAGACGGCTCTCTAGTGTAAGAAGAGTTTATTTACAGCCTGGCAATAGGTAAACACTTCTGGTTTCTGCCATAAGGCTACTAGTTGTATCAGTTCTAAAACTCAGACTAACTCCTGAATATTAGATAACAGAAATTTCTTACATGGTCCTACTCCGCAAAGGTCTAAATTCCCAAGTAGAATTTAGAATTTTTAAAATCCTATATTATAAACTAGTAAAATAACACATTTTTAATTATCCACACCGACTTTTTTTCCCCAGCAAATTACATTTCCTGTTTTGCTCAGTAGTTGATTTTCATTTCATTGGAGGCTTATGAGTGGGCTGGGCTATAGATGAATTATTGCCTTTTGATACTTTGGGAAACTAGTAGTTTTGGTGCATTTTTCAGATCCATGGACATCTGTAAATGTTTAGAGAGAAATTTGAGGGGAAGAAAAAGAAAAAAGGATCTTTTTGGTTTTTATTTGTACTTAAAAATGCATTTTGGACTATCATAGCTTTAAAGCACACACAACATTGGATCTCAGTGCTCAGATCAAACAAGAAAATAAGATGCAAAAACAGGAATTAGGCACCAATTACTGTCAGTACATACCTAAGACATTGTATCACACACATCCACCCCTCTTACGGAGCCTTCCCTGTTTCTCATTTGTCCTGCACATATGTAACTGGGCTCCATCTTTTTGTTTTAGAGTGTATGTTCACATTTCCCTGTCCCACAGATACAACCAGTGCAGAAGCCCAGTAATCGCCCTTTTACTTGTTGAGATTGCATGAGTGAAGCCAGAGCAGCATATTTGTACTGCTCATCACTTAGTAGACCTTTTTTTTTTTCCAGTCACCAACCCAGGCCATGTTGCCTGGTTGCCACTGGCACCATCTCTGACTAGCTTTGTGCTGTAACACCTTCTCATGTTCAACACAGCTATGCTAGAGCCCCGTTCTTGATGCTCTCTTTCGTTCTATTGTTCAGCCTCATTTTTCTCCCAGTTTCCTAATAGTTCCATGCTTGCTTTGCTCCACCCCATGCAGACACATCCAACAACCATTATGCTGTCCATATCTGCGGCAGGTAAAAAATGTCAGGAACAAGATTCCTGACGTCTTTACCTGAAGTTTCCAATTCAGATCCTGTGGATTTCCTGTGACAGATGGTGAGAAAACTGAAAATCTGGCCTCTTTGACAGCATTTGTCGCAATCACTCTGGCTACAGCCATACAGATTTTACCGCTTTTGTTTGGAAACTGCAGGTGTTAGTGTTGCTGCCCTCCCTTTTCCATTACCTGTTCTTGAAGTGTTTGCTAGAGGCCAACACTGATCTCACAACATGTTTACAGCCTCCTTGTACCGTATGGAGTAGTTCAAGGGCATTGTCACGTATGATCACACACTTTTTGAAGATTTCTTCTAATTACTGTAGTGACAAGTATTTATGTATTTTTAACTTTGTTTCTACAGTTATTTCAAATGAACAAAACAAAACTACTGACACAAAGTTTTACAGTAATAAATACAAGACTTGTGCAAGGAGTAGGAATCTCAGGCTAAGCAGAGAAAATGAGCTTTATATACTATAAAGTGTATGAAGAAAATCTGGGGCCTTTTAAAGGGTTTCTGAAAATGCCAGGGATTTAGAAACCTGTAATTTAGCTGAGCAATGGGAATCTAAGACTCACAGCTTTTGATCAGGCATCTATACAAAAGCAGGTGTAGGTAAGATGACAAACGAGCACCCTATTCACTTCCAGTTTTTCACCCTTAGCGAGTTGCATATTGCCATTGGTATCAGTAATGAAAAAAGTATTTATTACATTCTCAGTGTTAGAACTTGTCAGTCGTACCACACACTGATCAAACCAAAAGCACGTTAATTTGTTTCTTTTAAACATCACAGCTGAAATACAGCACAGTAGGGGCATACATACAGAAAATAAGCTAGATGAAAATGCAAAACAAGGAAAATTTATGTCAATTTCCCCTCCAAGAAAGGATATTAAAAAAAATAGTATTTGCCCTATCTGCATAGTCAGAAAAAAACTAAATTACATGAAGCTTTTCTGTAACATTATTACATTTCCTAATAGCTTTTAAAAAATTCAAGACTAAATGTTTAAATACTACCAACAAGTATTTCTGTATGCACCAATAGCT